CACCAAAGTTCACTTTTATGGTGTGATGACGGCCTTGTCCGGCGCATACATCATCGAGATAAGCATCTGCAAGGAAGCGTGCTGGGTCAGGCCACTACTGGTCACCATTGGAGCTCTGGTCCTATCATGGGCTAGGAGAGGGACTGGGAGCGGGTGATGAGGGTGATCAATGCCGTGAAGCTGAGTCACGTTTTCGTCAGTGTGGATCAGTCGATTTCATGAGGGTCAGCTGCTCTTTTTAGAGTCTGCATGCGATGTGTAAGTTATGGGTTCAGGGCTGCAACCTGCGGTGTGCGAGGAATACGACTGGCATTTAGGACAAGATTGAGACGGTAAAACGTGAAGATAAGGCTGATCATTGTGAGCCGATGGATTCTCTCATGTTTCCAAATGTTGTTTTAGGACTCGAAACTTTGAATCACGAACTGGGTGACTCAGCTCGTGTGTGTTGAATCACGCTCCGTGAGACGGATACCGTGATTCAATCTCAGGATCCACGAGCCGTGAGACGGCAGCTTTTTTAATTTGGTGGCCGTGTGCCGCCGGCCGTGATGTATGAGTAACCGGCGTGTGTCCCTGAAGTTTGCGGCGGGCGCGGTCGACACCGTATCGTGCTGTTTCTGTGTCTCGCTTGGGTGCAGTCGGCCGCGTGAGTTCTGCGGTCGCCGTCACGGCCGCCGTGAAATGGGATCCAGGCACGGTACCGGGCCGAACGCGCGTGCGTGTGGGGCTGGTGAACCTGCGGGTGTCGTGGTTAAGGTGGTGGACTTACAAAGGATAGATGAGCTGTGACCTGATCTGAAATTTGATACTGCGTGGCGCAGGAAGGTTTCACGTATTTACTCTGTGGTTTCCAAAGGGCGTGCGTGTGGACTTGGATGCATATTTTGAATATCATAATCGAAACATCAGAGGATGCTCGTTTGCGTGATAGAGGCTGCCATATCAGCCACTGCTGGGAATGAATGGGTGTTTGACTTTGGTGGCGAGGTATTGGTGCAAGTTCAACATTGCGGAAAGACTGACTTTACGCTGAGAAGTCGCTGGAGCCATGTTTGAACATTCGTGTTTCGACACAATTTGCAAACCAACTCAGAAGTAATCATCTGTGTCATCATTGTGAGGAATTATCAACTACCATCCTCAAGGCGACTCGCCTGCTCGCCTGGCCATTGCCAAGTCTCCTCCGACCCTCCCATTCTCACAAAGTCCCTTCCGACCCTCCCTTTCTCTGATGTTTCCCGCTGTCATTCCGTTCCTACTGTTCCGTCTGCTCCGCCCTCATCCACGCCCGTCCGCTGATCTGTCCCGACGCCGGTTTCGTTTCCTTTGTGTGCGGGGAGGCCGTTTGTTCGACGGCAGCGAAGCAGAACAGGCGGACTACATCGTTCCCCGACGCATCTGTAAGTGCCCGCTGTTTAGCCCCGGCCCCATCGTGGCCAGTTCCCGCCCTTCGCAGTCAAACAGACGTGGCCCCAGTACGGGACCCTGCGATACCCCGCTGCTCCGCCCGGCTTTCCACGTCAGACCTTACTCGGTCTGACGTTTGTGGGCCAGGGGAGACCCGACAGACGGCCTTCTCCCCTCTGTCTGTCGTCTGGGCACCACTGCGCCGTCTCAGGGAGCACCGGTCAGAGGTCTAACGTTGCCGAACGCCCCTCCATTGTCATAGAAAAGCGAGACAGGCGAGCTGTAAAGTATAGAAGCGTACGAATGGTGTCAGCTTCGTCCCGTCGTGACGAGACGTGAGAATGAAAAACCATGAATTTTTAATGAAAGTATCGTAGCTTTGTGCTTTAGCCCCACCTTTCCCTCTGTGCATTTTGCTTCGTTCGTGGTTTCGCTGCAGGTGAATGCCTTTGGGTACTCGGTTGCAATGTGAACTGCCAAACCACGCCTTTAGAGCTACCTGGGCGTGGCAGCAGACATAGTGGAACAATGACCGAGCTGCACATTAGGCATGAGTCATATTGGGAATAAAGAGTGTTGAAAACTGAAGGCGGGAAACGATAGAGCCGGACGCGGAATAGAATACAAATTCTAAATAAAAAGACTATCTCTTTAGTGCATAATTTAGTGCTTAGCTTCTAACATTGTCAGTGCCTGCGTTTCTACCCAATCAGCTATCTCATCTGCCACTGACTTTGGCATTTGACGGGCAACTGGGTCGTGACGGTCGGACAATGGTGTGACGGCTGTAACGGGGGCGGTGTGACAAAGGTGACGGGGGGGGGGGGGGTGTCACAGACCGCCACCAACCGAGGCTTACCAAACCAACGGCTACAGAGGCCGGACACGCCCTGCGCGGGCATGGCGTGGTAAGCCACATGGGTTAGCTGAATGGGGTGGCGAGGGATGCAGTGGCATAAGGGGATGAAGCCCGGGAGGAAAAGAGCATGAGATGGCAAGGAAAACATTGCGAGTGTGATGTTGTCATCCGTTGTTTTCGTCTTGAGGGGATCTGCTGAAGAAACCATTGCAATAGTTGCTGACGTCTTTATTTTGATATCTGTTACCGTGAAATTTATATGAGCTTTCCAGAAAAGGGAAGTCTTTTCATCGTTTCCTTTTTGCTGTCTTTGGTCTTTCTCGCTCTCGCTCTCGCTCTCGCTCTCGCTCTCGCTCTCGCTCTCGCTCTCGCTCTCTCCCTCGCACCCTCCCTCCCTCTCTCTCTCTCTCTCTCTCTCTCTCTCTCTCTCCCTCTCGCTCCCAGGAGAGGGCAGGGTTGAGCGCTGACGCTCCGACAGCTGGGTCAGCCGGCACGGTGACATCAGCTAACAGCTGTATCCTGTCCTGTTGGGTGATCTCAGTCGCGCTGGTCGGTAATTCATGGCACCCTCCCTCATCGGCCTCTTTGTGCTCAAATCCCGCCTGTGGCTCCCAGGCGTACGTTTTAATATTATGGGGAAGCATGCAACGCATTTTGTATTCGAGAGATTTTGCGATGGCAGATCGATAACACATTTCACTTATCATATTATAGAATCTTCATGGTCCCTCAAGCTACCGACGAAGGCTGCTAAGACTGGCGCCAGAAGCGGAACATCTTGTTCGTCTGGGCTGGGCTGATTGCCAATTGGACGACATAACTACCTTGATCTACGTGTTCCGCTGTTTCTGACGTCATCCATCGTGACTTGCCGTCCGATCTGCAACCGCTGGGTGACGAAGGTCACGACTCGTTCGTGATCACGAGATGCCTGCACCGACGGCGTCACGATCTTGGTGACATTTCCGTCGACGGGCGATCATGAGCTGTGCTGTGTTCGTTAACTAAACTAGTGGTGAAGCTGAATTCACCATGGGTATATTTAGATATGATGACGTGAATGAGATAATTTGAGGAGTGGGAATCACCCGGCTATTGACCCTAGCTAAGTGTCGTGACAAGATTGTAGCTTATCTGGCTAGAAGCGTTCCACTGTCTTATACCGAAGGGAATAAGTTATGTCCCAAGCTGGTTGCTATTTGCCAGATTTTTGGAAGCTGATGATTATAATGAGTTACGTCGCTGCAATGACGTGGACCCGACCAGATTGCATTATGTACAGTCGCTCTTTTCGTTATTTGGTAGGCCGATATTGCTGACTGTTAACGTAGTTAACGGGAGTCGGTGGTCCATTTATGTCGGTACCATTTATGTCGGTACCATTTATGTCGGTAGGTATTAATTATTGGCTTGACAGCAATCCTGATTTTGGGTAACTTGTCGATTCAGTGGCTCGTTGACAGTCATTACACAAACTATCGGCTTTCAGCGAACTGGTTTCGCATTCCGTTTTTGGGAGCAGGGCAGGAAATGATGCATGAAATGGCGACGGCTGCGCGGTCGCAGCGGCAACCTTGCCGTTTTGATTGTTGTATGACATCATACCGAGGTTTTGTGACGTCAGGAAATGGCAAAGCGGAGCTAGAGCGTGAGCTGATTGTAGGTCGGTCTCGACTAGTGATGTCAATTTCAGAAATTTTGCAAACCAATACCAAACCGATACCGACCAAAATCACTGAGAGTATACCAAAACCGAACCGATTTTCAGAAATAGGGGGAAATACCGACTAGATACCGAAATCAGGGAATTATCAAACAAATGCTTCAAACTTTCTCAAGACATATGATAAGCCTTGAAAGGTACCTAATACTTTGAAATAAGGTAACAAAAACAAATCAGGCAATCTCTTGATTATTTGCATTGCAAAAAATACATTTATAACTTATTTTGCAACTATTAACAAATATTCAGGTCAGTTATTTTACTGGAATGTGGATTCAAGTCAACTGCATGAGGTGTTAGGAAAATAACTTGAACCCTGAATCTTGTCCATGCCTGAACCATCAAACCTTCTTTCAATTCAAGTCATTCATTTCGAGTCCAGTCAAGACAGGGTTAAGTGTGTTATCATGATCCAAAAGTGGTGACCCAATTGACAATGATGGGCTACACCTTGGGCTACACCATTAATATAAACAAAGCCCATGATACCTACAGTTCAGCCCAAGTAGCATGGTGATTGGTGACGATACTGACGCAGCCAATTTTTCTTCATCAACAAATGTGTAACACAACAAAACTTGATAAATAATTACTTACGAGGCACACTGATAGATAGCAGACACCACTGTAATGATACCGCGATGAAATCTTAGTAAAATGTCCATAATTTTACGGAGGAATTGGCACACGTCACGTGTCATCTCTTCCATAATGGCGGCCTTAGAGGCGGCGGCCATTTGCATTAATGATAAAACTGTATAAAATAAAGGTTTTCTTTTCTTTTTTGCTTAAGTCCACTTAAATCAAAATTCCTTGTATAAATTTTGACTTCTTAAAATTAATTCAAGAAAGTTGTAGGCCGCTTTTGCTGAAAAATGAAGTACCAGAAAAACGAGCTATATCGGTTCCTCAACCTGGCGCAGCTGCGACATTGAAATGTTTTTAGATGTGTTCAGTTTTGAAACTGCTGTGTGCGAGTCAAGCCAAAAGCCAATTATATTTTATGAAGCTTATGATTAAATTGCTAGCGATCTGTATCTGTTGAGAGAGCAGGAAAGAGAACACTAATTGAAGAAAATAAATTATCCACAGGATCATGACAGCATCGCTCACTACAAGGCTTTTTGAAGTTGAGCGAAGTTGAAGATTTGTGGGGTGATGCGGGTGATGATGAATTGACAAATGCTGCCTTAAATATTAGATGATAATGGTGAAGCTAGTGCTGTATTAAACAGGGTTTTGGATAATGTAATTGCATTGCAGTAAAATGAAGAGGAAGACAAGGTCAAGATCAATCACAGACTCCTCAAAACAAAGTCAAATTTGTTGCTAATAAATGCTTTGGAAATTTTGAGAAAGGTAGTTTAAGTATGTTTTCCAGCATACAGTGAGTTAAACATTAATTAATGTTTATGTCTTGCACATTGGCTTTCTTTGTAGGATAATTATCCTCATGGTATTGGAATTTGCTAACACTGATAAGTTGCCATTTAACATTGGTAGACTGATGTATTTGATATTACAGTTGATGTGTTTGCCCATTTGTTAGGACATCATGCATTTGGGAGAAATGTGTCATGATTGCCATTTTTCTTCATCCAGTGTCATTTAGCAAAATCAAATTTGAGTTCAGAAGGTATATCAAAAATGCTTTCAAATATTTTATGACAGTAGTTGATTTTCATGATACCGACAAAATACCAAATGCTTTTGGTATATAATACCGAATACCGAATCGGTATTGGTTCGGTATCGGTATACCGAAATTTTGGTAACCGATTGACACCACTAGTCTCGACACCCAAACCGAGCGATTGTGTAAATAAGCGGAGAAAGATGTTTTGACATTTTAGGCGTTTGTGAAATCAAAGTGAATCAAGTGTTGGTTTTAAGATTTGAGATCGGTCATTTGAATGGCTAAGTCGTAAGCGATTGGCACTTGTCTGACTGATGGGTCATGAATAATGAATAAAACTTCGACGTCGCTCTCGTAAAACAGTTCGGAGAACCCGACAGCCTATTTGGCCTGATCTCGCCATCCTGTTTGACTCTTGATTGATTCTTGTGTTGTCTAATAAGAGGCATCTCCTGTTTTTCTTGATTCTTCCCGCGCGCTGTTAACGCAATGTGTTCACGTCAATGTACTGTTCCCGTGTTTTCACTGTATCAATTGTTCGCAATAGTTGGGAATCCTGCTCACAGCTTTTATCGCAGTTCTTTGACACAAACCTCCGTCTGTTTTCACAGATCCCCGTGCGCGGGGTCCGGGCCGGCGGCTCTGGCCTGCCGCGGCTGGCCACCCGACTACCACGACCCAGCGCCAGCCTGACCTCCACCGCTCCACCGCCTCCACCCTCCGCGATTCCCACTGCCATCCCGAGCTCTGCCAGCCTCCGAGCAGCTGCCGAAGCTCCGCCGCCCGACCTGAAGCCGGGCGACCCAGTGTTGGTGGACGGAGAGCCGGGTACCCTTCGTTTTCTCGGTCACACTCTGTTTGCCGATGGACTGTGGGCGGGCGTGGAGCTGGCGCGCGGTATCGGAAAGAACGACGGGTCGGTGGGAGGCAGGCGGTACTTCTTCTGCCAACGCGGTCATGGTTTGTTCGCTCCAGTATCGAGGGTGGTTCGCTACGACCCGGAGCCGCCGTCGCCGTCACCGCCGCCAGAACCGCAGATGACACCAGAGCCGGAGGTAACATCAGCGCGAAGACGGGAGGACCTGACCCTGCCCGTGAGCAGCACGCCTCGAATCGCGGCCTCCGGTGGAAGTAAGAGTCCTTCCGCGTCTGCCTCCGCCGCCGGGGCCGCGGCGTTGTCCCCTGCCGGCGACCTCTGGTGGGACAACACCGAGGGAAGCGTGGGTGACCAGCTGGATGACGTCGAGCTTCTGCAGGACATGGAACTCGACGAGCTATCGCTGGGCATCCTTACGCCCGACCAGATGGATGACGACTCCCACCTGCTGCTGAGGCCCGACGAGCTGAACCGATCCCTCGAGCTGCTGACCAGTCCCGATCCGGACATGGCGCCGTCAGAATGTGCGTTCAACGTGTCGGCACCGGCGGAACGTATGAGGCTGATTTCTGACGAAGGTGCGCCGCTGAACGTCACCGTCACCATCGGCCGAGAGCCCGACTGGGAGGACGAGTTCGACGCCGCGCCGGCTGCGACAGCCGCCGAGCCAGCCCTGAGTCAACCCAAGCAACGTGATTCCGAACCTGCTGAACCTGCAAAGGTAACTGAACACCCAGAACAACCAGCAGAGTCTGCGGAGTCCGCCACTCCAGGATCCTCAACCATCTCTCCGGAGAGCGTCGTCAGCGGCACCAACCACAGCGAGAGCGACACGACGTTCATCGTCACCGACTCAAGCGCTGACGTCACAATGCCTGTCGACGTCACTGCCAGCATGTCCAGTGAGTCTTCGGATGTGACGCTGAAGGACGAGTCAAATGGGGCCGGAGAGGCACTGGCCGAACCACCTTCCCCCGACACGGAGACCCTGGTGCTGGCTCGACCGCAGGCTGAGCTAGTGGCTGACGTTGGTGCGACGGCGCTGGTGAAGCCAGTGACGGTGGTGACAGACGTCAGTGGTGGTGATGTGGTGTGCGCGGTGACGGATAAGGTGCAGGTGGACTTGCGGGAGCGGAAGATGGAGATGGACGTACAGCAGGAGCCTCAGGAGATGGAGGGACAGCAGGGGCTTCACGACACCAGACCGGACACGTCCGTGTCGCCTGTGCTGGAACGCAAAAAGGTAAGCTGTGGGGAGGAATGGAGGTGCGGGTATGGGCGGATGTGGGGGTGTAGGAAGTATAAACAAGCAAGCGAAAGGGATGGTGCTGGGGCTGAAAGGGCGAAAGGGCTTTGTCAGGTATAATACTTATCCCCCTAGTGATACAAGTGATGCTGGTATTATTAGTGATGCTAGTCCCTATTACTTGAGCCATGCGGTCCACACTTTGTGGTCTAAAACTATGCATATGGTCTCAGGCTCGTCACATAAATGCACGTCAGTAGAAAGTTCGCGCTGTTTTCTTAGATGCTAAGTAGGCGGTGACGCGCGAACTGGGGATGGTACATAGAGGATTCTTCATGGCTCCGAGTGGAAGATAAGGATATCTTTTCCAAGCGGGTTACTGAAAAACCGAGCGACGAAGGAGCGAGGTTTTTCTGTAACACGCGAGGAAAAGATATCCGATCTTCCACGAGTGAGCCATGAGGAATCCTATATCTTTCTATGTTGACGTTTATTCTTAATTAATAAAATATTATATTTAAATGCATTCATCTATATAAAAGTAGATTCAGAGTAGTATGTTCTTATTTCATAAGTTTCATCCATAAACAACCATTAAAAATGTCGTTCGGTTATTGACCCATCATCACATGAACTCTTGATTTTTCGCTATGAACCCTCGAGACCTTATCTTTGCATCTCGGAGGGATGCAGATATAACAAATTCTTATCTTTGCATCTCAGAGGAGTGCGAGATAGAAATATCCCTGCACTGTAGACCCAATGGCAAATAAACCTCAACTAGAAAGATAGGTAACGCCCGCTCTACTGTTACCGTTTTCAGAACATTTGCCACTTTCCACATTGCACCGCAATTAACCATGTTAATATTGGTGGGAATTACGATCGTTAACCTAAATGAGCCATTTTCCGGTGCAACCAGCCATTCCTAGACTTTTCCTCCCTAGATTTATCTGTCTTTTGTTCGATCTTTTCCATCTCCTTTCTCTTTCTCTCTCTCGCTCCCATCCTTTCTCGTATTCTCTCAGCCTCTCGACCCGGTTATTCAGCGAACCTCACCATGGAGACAATACGTGTGCAGGGCGACATGACCGCAGCGACACGCCAGCCCCGCCTCCCGCCGCCGCCGCCGCCCGGCCAAAAATGCTCGCACGTACCACTTCTCGGGCGCCCGGCCAGCCAAGAAGACGGCGGCGGCGGCGGCGGCGGCGGGGGCCCGGTTCCGACTTCTCCCGAGAGCCGTGAGTTGCGTGACTTGCTGCGACTCGAGTGAAAACGCCGGAACTCACACCGTCGCCGCTGGCCGCCGCCCGTCCGGCCCCCGGCGGCACGTCTCAAGCGCAGCGGAAGTCAACCAAAGACCGAGACGCGTGAATGAAATGCTAAATAGGTAGGCGTTCGCTGCTAGAGGCTGTGCGTATATGTTAGGTGAATTAATAGAAGACCGTGTATTTCTGACTGTTTACGTGCCTTACTTTACTTACTTTACGTGTTTCTAGTGTTTCCCGAGTCCTGTAGTGTACTTACTACAGTCGCATTCGAGATGCATTTCCATGTGTCAGGCATGCACTTATGCGTTGGCATATTGTCCGGTGCCGCGGCTTTGCGACCTCGCGTAAAGGATTGTACCAATTGCCACATCTCTTCAAAGGCCTTTGGTCCACAGGTGTTGCGTGTGGCAGCTCAATACGGTGGTAAGCGTTTCGTTGTGAGTTGTGGAGCAACTCATCGCCCCAAAGTCGTAAATGTGCCACGCTAAATTCGCCTAAAAACCGCAATCCTTTGTGCATGGACGGCTGAATAGCTCGTTAGTGAGGCGCATGTCGAGGCGCAGTCCCATACCATCGGTGATTTACATCGCGAAAATGGGCCAGCTTTCAGCAACCTAGGTTGTAGAGTATTAGTTTTCGCGGACAAAGTAGCGAACATATGAGCCGTGTGAACCTGCTGCACGAGACCGACGCCCGATTTCGTGGTAGCGTATGCTCTGCGAGGAGTTTTCAATTAATTTAAAACATTCTGCGACACAGGCTCATTAAATTCGCACCTTTGGAAATATCCCATGCGCTAGACTGCTTTCAGTGGCGTCTCTGACCTCTCTGTTCCCGGTTCTCTCCGCTCCACTGATCGGTCGTGATTTCGGTAGGTGACCTCCGATACCGTCCACTGGCCGGCTCGGTCTCTGACTCTCCCCCGCCGTGACCGTGCGCCGGGGATGTGTCCAATGGTCCCGTTAGGTCGCCTCTGTCACGGAGGTCGCCTGAGACTCTCCTCTCGGCTCCCGGACCCGCTCAGACGGAGCCAGGACGCGGGACAAATTACTGAAACCGGCGGACCAAAGAACTGTCTCTTATCTGGGAACCCGAACTCATCGGATTCGTAGGGGAGAGTGGGGCAAAGCGGCCACCCGGGGCAAAGCGGCCACCCATCGTTTTAGCCCTTCATAGCTGGCGTCAGTTACAATTTATGGTTTCCAATTATACTTCTCTTCACGGTCGTTCGAATGAGCCAGACCGGGTTTCAGGCCCATCACCAATGTTCTGTGAAACACGGAAAAACATTTCTTGCCAGGTTACCAACTATGTTTACAAAATTTAAATGTTATGTTATTCCATAACCGTGTGGAATTTTTTTAAGCGTTCTTGTCCATGCATGGCATGGTTATCGTACATGTTATTCTACCAATTTTAATGTTTTTTACCCCACTAATAGCTAAGCTGAAATATTTTTGTCTCGGACGGTATGCGCGGGGTAAAGTGGCCGGGGCAAAGTGGCCACCCCCCAATTGACCATAAGTTGCTTCCATCTGGATAAAAAACGTTATTTATATTCAAATGTGTCGTCATGCATTCATCTTGGCCACTTTTCAGTTGCATGAGTTACCAAATAATGCAATTGAATGTTTATTTTCATGAAAATCCTTTCTTTGTTTACCTACAGGTGGAAGATGATAAAGTAAACATCCATCCTCGCTTAACCTTGTCACCATCAAATACCCTAGTCGTACACGAGGCAACTACTTTGTTTCTCATATCGGGACTTGAGAAGACGCCGGTGGCCGCTTTGCCCCAGGGTATGGGGCAAAGTGGCCAATATGCATAGGTTTAAAGTTTTGTCAATATCTTTCATATGTGAACGCCTTTGGAAATAAAACGCAGTTGAAATAAAAGGCAACTTAATAGGGATCACATTGGTATAGAAAGAATCTTTCCAAGTTTAAAAATCAAGCGTTGGCATCGTGAGAAGCGTTAGGGTGGCCGCTTTGCCCCACTCTCCCCTACTCTCTCGACCGGAACGAATCGTATAACGTTCCGGGTATGAATGGGGTTTTAATAATCATCAGACTCTTTTATCCAGTTTATAGGCGTAATGATTATGGCTTCTTCCCAATCTACCACGGTCTAGTTTTTGACAGAATCACAGCACTATTCAGCGCTCTTTGCTGCTCAGGAAACGTTTTGAAGACTCTCGCTTCCTATCGATTTCATGCTGTCTCGCTCCGATTGCTATTTATTTGACATGTCATGCGGCACCGACTGGACTGCCTGAGAGTACCGCACTGCCGAGAGTTTAGGGCTCAATGATAACATCCCACGTCTGTCGCCCCGTCCTCTCCATCCCTCCTCGCGGTCGGCGGCCGACCCATTACAGCCATGGCATCGCTGCAGCTATCGGCCGGAATGTAGTGCAGATATGAATGAGTCACAGTTTAGATTGCCGGACTCTGCTGGACTTTGAAGCGCCGCGGGGTAAAGATACGAACTGGGAGCCAACCGGATACTGGGTTTATTGATAGTGCCGTTTTCCACAAGTGGTTTCCGTGAAGCAGTATTCTGGTTTGGATGGAATGGGGTTTGATTGTTTGATCTTGAAAATTGTAACTTTCAAACTAATTGCGAAGAGTTCAGATGGTTGATGCGAAGAACTACTTATTTAATGCTGGATGCTACCAGCTATATTGCCATTGTTGTTTCCTTTGAATTTGCTAATATAGACAATGCAAATTTGGATAAGGCATCTAAGTGAAAGAGCAAACAGCAGCCTTACGGGTGATATTATCGAACACGGGTTATCGGGTTATCGGGTGTTTGCGGGTGATTATATCATCGATAGTTTGCAACAGATGCCTTCAGTAGGTATGATCAGATTGCCTGCCATCGAGAGGTGTATTTTTTAAACCTATCTAAGCCATATGAGATAAGTGACATTGTAGTTATCGATTTAAGTGTTCGCCCAATTTGACGTGATAAGATGCCGGGAAGATACCAACTGAAAATGCTATTTCTCTTTTTGATAGCTGTCAACGATGTTAATAAAATCGTCAACGTCCTGTCTTCTGCTCGACCTATGTGTATTAGCTAGCACGCAGGTTTCAGTGTAGTTAATGTGGGCGTGTTGGATGCCAGGTTTGTTCTATTAATGCAGCGTGGAAAACATTTTAGCTACGTAGCTGTAAACTGTCCAGACGCAGGTGAACGATCTTTTTTTAAGCTGGTCACAAAAAAAAAACACTCCGACTGAATAGCGATGGCTTTGATCGATGTGTTTTTTTTCACGTTTTATTTTTTCGTTAGATTAACGATCCCTGTGGCTGATGACCTTGGACTGTCGGTGCAAATGACATTTGCTGGAATGCAACTATGTACAATTAATATCACGCCATTAAAATAATGAATGTCGCTGATGTGTCGTCGAAGAAAATTTTCATTGTTCTCGACACAAAAAGCTGCACACTGTTAACAATCATTCATTCAGCCTGAGCATCGCAAACGCATCCGACCACACGATGTTCTCAAAGACATAAAATCTTTGTGGTCAAAGTTAGAATTCCCACAGAGCTTTTGCGGCTATCAAAAGTAAGTTTTGGGCTTGATTTTTGTCACAGTCTGCCAAACCCATGCAAAGCCTTCAAGTAATACAGAGAAATGAATTTAAGCTTGCATACTTCCTCAGATAAAAAGAGCTTTCAGCACTCTGTATCGCCAACGATTTGGCCA